AAGTAAGTACTTAAATATGTTGAAACTAGGGACAAACCTAGTTGCAGGTATTATCATGTTGCAGGTTTTGCATTATGAGAATTAGAGAAACCAACTGATGACTGGTTTCCCTCAGGCTGCACTTTTGGTTGACAAGAAATGGCAGTTATCAGTTAAATTCTGTGAGATTATTTTAACCTCATTGGGGACTAGTAGCAGGGCAGGCTTTCAATGAACAAAAACAACTGAATACAGGAATTACACTAAGTTACACCTATCTAAGTCCCACTAACTTATATGTGATATGAACTCATGTTGCCTATTCCTAGAGATGATGGCTTTTTTTTTTTAAACTGTATACACATTGATTCCTTATGCAAATTAAGTTTGGGAAGGCAAAAGTTTTTCATGAACATCCAATTGGAAACTTTGACTTTTATTATTACTATTTTTCCCCAATTAACATGATTAACATCCAAAGGCATTTGTGGGTCATTTTTTTTATCAACCAGTATAGTCAATAGAACAATGAAAACATATGTAGCTGAAATTTAGGTTTTAGGACCAAAGAAGTGATTTTAGAAAACAAATCACAAAAAAAGCTATCTGATGAGTACCTAGTGGAGTTAAATCAATTAAAATTTGAAAAAAGGTAAATTTATATGAATACCATAGTAGATACTTCAAAACAAAATTATCTGAATGGTGGTTAATCAAGGCTGTCAGAAAAATTAAAGTTTTAAAATATTTTTGCAAAAATTACTAATTTTATTTCAGTTGTACATTATCAAATTGGACATTGCATTACTATTTTGTTGGAGAAATCATACTCTATTTCACCCCAAATCAACATGTGATTAAATTGAATTTGAATATAGGTTCTTCCATTATATTGCCTCTTAAAAAGAGTATATAGTTGTGCATATCAGTTTAGTTATTTCATAGATAATGCCAACTCTTCCCAGTGTTTTCTGCAAAATACTCTGGTCCCAGTCACCTGTGGACAAAGTGTTCACAGTTGTTCAGTATATTTTGCTTGCTATTGCTTCTGCTACTTTCCCAATGCACTGATGCATACAGACTACAGATTCCTATGTCAATTGTCTTCCTCTTGAGTTGGTTAACAAGGGAGAATGGAAAGGGAGACTTGTAGGACATTAAATGGCTTTGGAGGTTAGGTATTATTCTTACTCTTATTGGATCGCCACTGGTTGGTGGCGACCCTCTTTCTAAGGGTCAGTTTCTAGAGGTAGTTCTTTCCATTTGTTTGTTTTTCCCTTCCGTTAACTGCTCCCTTACTTTGCTGTTTACCTGGAGATGGTAATAGTACTACCTTTAGTTGGCTTTTCTTTATCAATTGTTTCTCAATGACCCACTCTGTATGTATCATTTCTTCCCTTCTTGGAGGCTAACCTATGTAATGGTTAAATAGTACATTGTACTCTTGGATTAAAATCCTTATTAGCATATATGTCTACCAATAAATAACAGGAATAACTTGTAGCCCAGCATTTGCTAAACATTTACTCATGATGACATTTTCCTAATATATGTATAAGAACTAACCTAGAACACATGGTATTATAAAATTCCTCACCCTAAAATATATAAAACAAAATTTGATTTATAATTTTGTTGACTAAGGGTAATTATTATAGTTGTTCTGTGTGAGACAAACATGCACTGAAGGTCTACTAAGGTATGTAAACCTGCAGCTGTTAAGTCGTTGCAGCTGGCAGTCATTATTCTGTAATAATGACATGTCCCAAATGGCTGTACTTTTTGAATTTGGTTTCTCTAATCCAAGTCTTCAACAGCAGACAATTATGCATCATCACTACCCTTGTGCTTCTTCCCCCTGGACTCCATATCGTATTTACTATCTTTGGTCTTGAAGAAAACCAAATAACCAACACCTGATTTTGGACCTCAATACCTCTTTCCTTAAAAAGCACTTTAGTGCCGGCCTTCCCTGGTGTGTGGATTAAAGCACAGCACTAAGAAGCTAAAAAGCCACTTCAGCTTGAGTTGGACCTCTGCCCCATGGTGACACCTCCTGTGCCGCTGACCTCTACTGACCCACAGTGCCAAAATTTTGTAAGATTTACTTTGGTTACTTAGAAACTTTATCCTCTTATAGTTGATAATAGTTACGTAGGGGGTGTTGCTGAGGTTATATGTATGTGTGTGTGTATATATATGTATATACATATATATGTGTGTGTACATAAATATGCAAACCCATTTCACAAACTCTACTGTTGTAATAATTAACACTGCACTTTTGATTTTCTTAGCCATACTGTGCTGGATGGCTATACGATCAGTTTTGTCTAATGAGCTGAATACAAGTGTTTTGCATGATTTTAGTCAAGCATTTACTTGTGCAACACTTGAAAGCCTTTTTTGCCGTTGGTCAAAAAACTGTTTCACAGTTGATGCTCCATCAGCTGAATACAAAGAGTGAGAAATCTTTTAAATTTTAGGTTGTTTCTGCAGTATATTTTAGCCTATCCAGAAAATATTCAAAATATTTTCTGTAAAATTAGAAAAATTTTTCAAAAAAAAAAATTAATGTATGCATACAAGAACATAGTCTAGGCAAGGAGTGGGTGGGGAGCAATTCACCAGAGACATGGTGAAGCAGTGGGGAGACAATGGGGAGCAGAATGGGTAGATCCACTGAAATAAATTGTTGAGAGGAAGAGCTGGAGGACAGGAAAGGTCCATCTTGCCATGTGAACAAGCTCCCTGGTCAGATATGGAGCTCATGCCACAGTGGCCAGTAACAAACAGCCTGTCAGCTGTGACACCTCAACCCCCTGTGCCATCAGGGAGGCCTCCAGAGATTTTAACCTAACTGAATAATTTACAAATCACAGTATTTATGAAGAGCACTTTAAGGAAGTGCATGAATAAGCAGTTCAATTCGTATGAAAGCTTTAACATTGGGGCTCCCTGGTGGCACAGGGGTTGAAGTCTCAATGCTGTCTTGCTATCTCTATACCCACATGGTCAGCAGACCTCTTTGTCTCACCTGCTGCTCTCTACTCTGCCTCTGGTGACTCCTCTTACCCTACCCTCCCCACATCTGGCCTACACCCCAGTTATATGCATAAGTAAATAAATACAAATTTTAAAAATACTTAATCATCTTGCAGTATGATGCCTAAAAATGGTAACTTTTGAAATGGCTGTATTTCAATAATTAGCTTAGCAATATATATCAAAGTGCTTAATGGGGGACAAATGTGTATTTTCCTGCAGATTCTTAGTTATTCAAACAAAATGCAGCAACAGTAAGTGTCAGACACTTTAACACTGGTCTTTAATTTTCAATTAAGGTGTAAGGAGGCATACACACACATTTATCCAAGGAATTAGAAAAACACATATTATAAAACATGTATGGCAAACAATACTTCATGTACTTTTTCAAATCTGTACTTTAAAAGAACCTCATTGTCTATGTAAAAAATGTTACTTCAAAACTCCAATTTTGATATCTCTATGGAAAAAGCTCTGTACTTGGTTAAAAAAATCTGGGGATAACATCTTTTTGGTTGACCACCATTAATACCTAGCAAGCAAATTTGTTAAATGAACAGAATGGCATTTTGAAAGAGATTGAGATTCTGAAGTCAAATTGGGGACTGACATATAGAAAGGGAATAAACCAGAACTGCCCTAGAAAAGGGGGGGCACAAAAGTAGGAATAATGAAGTCAGTCTCAAAGTGAGACAGACTCATTTCCAAACTTTTCCGTTATAAAACAAGATTGTACTACCTGGTTATGACTTAGTAATCACATTAAGTTACATGTCAGCAACATTATGGTTCCTTAGACATGCCTCCTCAAGTAAGTCACATCAGCCTACTGAGATTTGTTACACAAACACCAAATTTTAGAACACCCATCTGGTAGCCTCTTATAATCAAGACTTTAGCTCTACATAAAATTCTATTTCAACTTAAATTCTACGAAATATTACAGATATCCCTACCCATATCTGAAGTCACTTAAGTATTTGGATAAAAAGAAAATCTTATCAAGTTGTATATTACACAGGTAGTCTATAATTTTTAGCATTGTATATACAATTAAACACTGTAAATACACTTTAATATTTCAAACTGAAAGATGTTTTACTTTAATCAGGATGGTACCTTCTCTAATTTTATGGGCTATGTGATAATTGTCATTTAGTATTCAGTTACACAAAATCATCTTTGCATAAACTATATTCAATTAAAAAAAAACCAATTATGGTGGAGAAATGTGGGTATTTTGGTGGTAAGGTGTGGTGTAACACCTGAAGGAGAATCTCTAAATCAATGTTGTAAAACATTGTTACTTCAAAAACATTAACAAAAAATTAAACTAAAAATGAAAACCAAGGGTCTCTGGAGGCTCCTTACCTTCCTCTTGCCCTAGGTTCTAAGAAGGAATATATAAAGCACTAAACTGGTACATGTAAACAAAAGCAAGTTTTTTTTTTTTAAATGAAAGATGTCAGTTCATACTTTCACGCTTTTTACTGCAAAGAAAAATCACTATCTGTCCCTTTTAGATTAGTAGGAGCTATGAAAAGGAAATGTCAGATTACAGAAACATTAAGACTTCATGGGCCAAATATTTATGTTCAAATTATTTCCAAAACTTATAAAGGTATTTAATTATTTGCAAATGAAAAAACTGAGGGTCAAAATTAAGCTGTCATAAATCACTACTGATGGAGCTAAATTTCAAGCCAAGGTCTTCCTCTAATATATACATTGTTTTCTCAGTACACTGGTTCAAAATTACCTAAACTTTACAAAGTAAACTTATAATTGAAAAAGCTGTAATAAACACTTTAATGACTTTAATAAAACATGTATAAGGACCTTACTAAAAACTAAAATGCCAACTTCACTTAATCCTTCATGTTAAAAAAAACTACACTTTACTTCCAATGGTAATATGTGAAGCACAATTCATATCATTTTTTACAAAATAAATTAACTTTAAGCAAACAATCTCAATGGTAAATGCATTTCATTATTTATTTAGATGTTTAAGCTCTCGCACTAGATTTTTACAAGCTGGTGAACACTGACAAATTATTTCTCCCACAGAACTATAACCACACATTCCCAGACGGTATAAATATATGGTTGAACTAACATTAATACACATCACCATTTTATCAATTACATAATAAAACAAATTATCAAGTATCCAAATATTAAGTTACACAGCTCAAAAGGCATATAAAATATTAGATGTCTGCTCAATTCATTAGCAGAAACCCACTTCTTATTTTTTTTTTGCAAGAGAGGTTGGGAAGGAAAAAAAAAAAATCACACTCCAAACAAAAATAAGTTGGTAAACAACCTCAGATAAGTATGAAAAAAAATTACAAGTATTTCAGAAATTTTATGATTAAGAATCATTTTAGCTACAATAACAAAGCATCTCTACTGTTTAAAAAAATATTTACTAAATTAAAGAGCATATTCTACATGTTCTGCACAAGACAAAGGCAACATTTTCCTAAAAATACTTAATAGCCCCTTCCCATTCTTTTTTTCAGGCCCTCCCTGTTAAGAGTTGCACCCCAAAGTGCAAACATTAAAATTAACTGTAAGGCTTTTTTTGTCTGGAGACAGTTAAAGACATGTGCTTCTGTACAATGAAGATTTCCAAAATGGAGGTTTTAGTATAACAGCACAAAATGAGATTTATAGAAAGACATTAAATAATCACTGTAAGACTTGGTTTAAAAAAAAAAAAGGGGGGGTTGGGGGGGTGGAAGAGTTGCGCAAACCTGATGTATTACCGGCACAAATGTGGGAGATGTAAACATAAAGTGAGCAGGCAAATAACCATATAGGCCCTATTTTCTATGTTTGAAATGACTGAAGGAGTAAACCACATAAGGTCCAGAGTGTTCATAGTTCCTGGGATTTTAGTTCTGTATGATACTAAAAATATACAAGTATTGTGCTGGGTATTTTGGCACCTAATCTTTCTAAATTTTTCTTATATATGGTAAGATTCTGGCATGGGAATAGATTTAAAGACATACTCAAGACTGCATGATTTCAGGAAAGATCAATTGGTACAAATGATAAGCACATTTTAAATGCTTAACAGCAAGAATCTTTTGTCAAGTGTCCAAATAAGTTGACTGTAACCCAAATATAGAGGTTGCAATTCTGTTAACGTTGTGGCCTGGTAAAACTGCTTTTCAATACTCCTACCGAAGCTTCATTTGACTTATTCAGCAAGCCAACAGGTTGGCTAGTATGTATGACAAATTAGGTCCTGTCTTAAGTTCCACTTCCAAGGCAAGGGCATCAGGCACCCCAGTTTTATTGGATACAACAGTTGTTTCTATGACCATTGGAGTCTTTGAAACGCAGTCGCATTTTAGGGCGATACTTCTCCAAATATAAAAGTTGCTTGCTGTTAAATGCTCCACGCCGCTTTCTGGAAGAGAATTAAAGAAAATTTCTGTAACAATTAAAGTGAAGTCTTGCTATGTTAACATTTACTGTGCTACCAGTAGTTATCACTTCTTTCGTGGCAATTCACCTTTTACTAATTTGCTATCACAACACAGAACTAGACAGGTGTATGTGTGTAAATGGAAAAGTGATAATAAAAAGTCAATTTTCTACATCTTCTTTATTTAAGTGGTGGTTATAATAATTAAAACTTAAAGAATCTATTTGTATGAAGTCCAAGAAAAGACAACCTTAATTTATGGTAACTGAAGTCAGAGGTTTTCCCTAGTGACAAGCCAGCTGACTATAAGATGGCTGCTTTAATTTGGGTGCTGTCAACTTATTTTTCTTTGATACCTATTTTATTGTATGTTAACTATACCTTAATAAAAATACAAGTATTCAATCAAGAATTTAGAGTAAAAAATGTGAAGAATTTATTCTTGCCGTAAAATCTTTGTAATGAGCACCTACCTAGAATACAAAAAGGATGCAATACCTTTATTATTTTGACTTTAATCTCTTTAATAATGGTAAGATGAACTAAAATGTTTTCATAGTATGATTAAACTTGCTGATTTTCAATGAGGAAATAAGTATTTCATTAAATACTTACTGTCTTATGAACTGCACTGCATCTTCGTATTTCATGCCACCTTCAATTAGTGCTAGGGCAACAAGTACTGGAGCTCTGATAAAGAAAGGATTTTGGTAAGACTTTTCAAAATATAAGACTAAGAAACCCATTACTCCAAACATTCCTAATACAAAAGTATTTATCACCAACCATACTTCTATATTAAATATAGGAAATAAATGTTGACTATGTTAATAAATTAAGTGACCAATTTCTTTCCTCATTTTTCTAGCAAACCAAGATTTTTACCTAGAACCCAAAATGAACTATGTTTTTGAATATTATAAATAATTCTAGGGTCTGCCTGGTGGCCTAGGGGTTAAGTCTCAAAACTTCCACTGTGAAAGCCTGAGCTCAATCCCCAACCAAGGAGCTAACAACCTACACGGTATAGCAGACCTCTCCTGTCTTGCCCTCTGCTCCCCTTAGCAGTATATTTCAGTAGATCTGCCTCTGCCTGTTCTACTCCCCACTCTGTCTCTGGTGAATTCTCTCACCCCTGAACCCCCAGTTCCTCAATGCAAAAAAAACAAAAAATCGTAGAGGCTATGACATACTTTATTGGAGGTTAATTTGGAGGCTTAATCAAGTAGTGGTTCTAAGCAGTGAAGAATACTTTCCACTTTAAAAGTTTGCTTCCTTTATTATTAATGAGACTGTCATATTTGCAAGCTAAATCCACCCTCCCTTATGGATATTCATTTGACTTTTAAGCCACAATACGGCTACTTGGGGGGTGAAGGGTGGCGGTTATGGATTTATAGGGATATAGCGAAATGTGTATTTGGGCATTACTTGGGTAATGAGTTCCTACTAAATCAGAATCTCCAAGATCAAAATGCTATCAAAATATACCCTATGCAATTTAAAAGAAACATTTTAAGAGCTCTTTACCACAAAGAACTTGGACAATGCTTCCAATACCACTGATAAAACCTAGCACACATAATACTGCCCATAGAGACAAATGTAAATTGCAGTTACAGATTTATTAATTCCAGCTGAACTGGTATACATTTTCCTATTATGTTCACCAACTATTAAATTTAGTTGAATCAATAATCAAAGCAAATTGATTCACACAAGGATAACTGAGTCTTAACGAAATAAAAATTTTTTTTTTTCTCTACATAGGATCAATTACTATAAATGGATTCAGGAAATTTCTCTTACCTCCCAAGGCCTGCAACACAATGAACAGCAATACAACAACCAGGTTCTTCACGAAACTTAATTTTTACAAGACTTAACCAGTCATCAACAATCTGGTTGGATGGTGGAGCACCATCATCAAAAGGCCAATCCTAAGTCAAAAGAATAAATGTCTTAAAGATTTTTAATATAAAACCCACACCAATCTTAAGTTTCTAATACCCCAAAGTTTCAAAAGTATTTGGACATGTTTAAGCATGTGGTTTATTAAACCTAACTATCAAACAAATGCTGCATCTTTATTATAAAGGTCCTTGATTACTTCAAACCATTCCTTAGCTTTAATCCTTATTTGGAAATTAAGGTACTGTACAACTTTGTAGTTAAAGTATTAACTATTTGAAGCCCATAGTTTTTGAATAAACCTTAGCAGTACAGTATCATAAATCCAAGCCACTATTAAATACTTACAAGAACACGTATGCCTTCTTTCTCCACAGGAGTAGTGTCGTAAGTTGCTTCACATACTCTTACTATTGTGGTAACTCCATACTTCTTAAGTTCCTGGGTAAAACATATAAGACGCCAATGAAGTATTCACAAAAGCAAGTACTACTGCTCACAATTTGCCATTTTGATTTCTAATTTTCTGGTAACAAACTCATGGTATTACATATGCAATGTTCAAGAGGAAAGCAAATCTACTTTTAATAGAAAAGGGAGTGTTAAGCACATAAATTCTTAATAAATCAAACTTAAAAAAAAAAGAACATAGTCCTCACACACATGTATAAGTTATTTATAGTTAAAATTATGAAATGAAGAAGTAACAAAGAGGATTAGAGGCAATTCAGAGGTAAAGGCATCACTCATGGCTGTAAGTAATGTGACCTGCCTCAATCAACTCTTTAAATGTTTATTTGTAGTACACATTTAGTCATTCCAGTATGCATAAACTTACAAATCTCAAAAATGCTGTGTAAAAAATCCTATGCCGTTTAAAACCAAAGAATTCATTACTCATAACTCCTAGCATTAAAAAAAAATTGATGTAATTAAAAAAAAAGTATTCCCCTATTATTTGGGAAGTATTTGTTTCTGAACATCTACAAGTATGCATGAAATAAATGTGTAGGCACCCAAATGTATAGGAACTCAGCATTACAATCCTGCCTTGTAGTCAAAAGGCAGGCAGCAATGAACTTTGTCTATTTAGCAAACACCAGGAAGTAGAACTAAAAGCTGAAAACTGGACTCTACGACACTAACTTACTTATTAGACTTAAGGTATTAAAGCATGAAAAATTCTATGTGGTAGCCTTTGCCCTGTAATTTTTTACAAGTGAAAAAATTATAATTTTTTTACAAGTCCACATACCAATTTAAATTAAGCAAACTCTGAGGCACAAAGTACTACACATTAACTTACAAATCCAAACCAAGCACACGTTCTTTTCAAAATGTGTAAAACAATTTTTCTAACCTAAAGACAATGAAATTTCATTCCTGTCAGTTGGAATTACAAGGATACCACCTTAAATCTCCCAAAGTAGCATTAATTTTGTCACATAAAAAGCACCACCATTAAACTGCCATTAGTTTAAGACATTTAAAAAGAATCATACCGTACCTCTATAAATTTGTTTAAGGTTGCATTGGTTGGGTTGTGAGTAATAAGAAATCTCATGTTCTTGTATGTGACTTCCACAGGAGCTGGGCGGTTCATTCGAGCCATGTTAATTTAGTTAAAAAACACTCAATGGGGTTATGAAAGAATTCAAAAAATTGAATACAGAAATGATGCAAAGAAACTGAGTCTACTTCAATATACTCCACTTGAAATTCTCAGTGCTTTGAGTAATGAAGTTGGGAGTAATGGGAAATGAAATGAACCTCCTAAGAAGCAGCAATTCTTCAATCCAGTAATACTGAGGCAATAGAAAGGAAGTGCACTGAGGTTTACCCCATCCAGGTCAGAACTCTTGTAAAATGCTCTGTAGATTTCAATTCAACACTTCTGTGTCCAGGTTAACCACTCTTATGGGGGCTTCTTGGTGGAGTAGTAATGAATTCTACAGTTCACTTGTCTGCATAGAGGTCGTGCTGTGCCTGGCAGTAATCTCCACTGCCCTTCAGAAACTCCATAAATGTGTGACCAAGAACACCACAGAACTGCTGTTTAAAAGAAAAACAGAGAAAGAGAGAAAAAAGTTGTTTTCTAATTCAAAAGGATCATGTTATGTTTTAACGTATGAGTATCTTTTCAAATTTCAACCCAAGCCATCTTCTCAACTTTTACCTGAACCACACAAAAAGTTAGTTACAGATTAAATTAAAAAAGAAAAAGAAAGCATAAAACAAGCATTCAAACATATTACTTTAAGTGAAAATTAACTGTGTAACACATGGTTACATCTGGTGATCAATTATAGTAGTCCATAATATTCTTTTAATGGCTGGTTGTTTCACATCATTACAAACTGCATACTTTGAAGCCTTTGGTCCTTGTTTTTATTTTCTATAGACTTAACCAACACATTCTTATGAGAAAGAAGAACCTGGCTTTTAAATTTCTTCCACAAACACTGCTCATTTGGACCTCAATAATTTATCATTCCCTTTTAACAGATTTTCCTTAACTGAGTCTCTGGGAAGTTATTCAACTTGCTATATCAAGTATTAAAAGGCTGTTATTATTAATCTTAAAAATGAAATCTAATTGTCAAAAGCAAAATACTTTTATAAGTATGCTTATAATTTCCCCCAAGTTCCCAGCAAAAATCTAAGTCAACCTGTGTTAATATCAAACATTAAATGAATATTAAAATATTCAGAACTTGTAGACAGAAGTATCTGTGTTAATATTCTCTTTCACCTAATATCTTATAAAGAACTTGTGTAGTGGGGAATACAGAACTAAGGAATAGTAGATTAGCAAGGGCCCTAAGAGCCAGTCATTGTAACAACACCTTAATTTCATTTTTATGGGAAAACAACCAAATTGAATCAAATCATAACTATATTCATTTCACACCTTTGAATAGCAAAACATGATAGTTATAACTGCTAAATTTTGAGGATCAATCACATGGAATTCCAACAGATTACAGAAAAAAAAAAACCCTTAGGTTATTTTTTTTGGGTGTGTGGAAACAAAGGAACAGCCTCAGGAGGAATTTCTTAAAAGGTCATCCCATTAAGATAAACTTTCATGATTTTAAATCTGTCCAAATAAAGCCCTCAGAGGTGATTATTTCATTGACTTGCTAGCTTGGCTGAGAAAATACAGTAATCAAATTAGCATTATATGTTAATTTATGTGACCAAATAACTACACTCTACTTGCAATATAGGCTTGCAGTAATCTGGAAATCATTTCAATGAATACTTTTCATCTTAAATCCTACCCCTTCTTCCTTAGAATAAAAAGTACATCCTGGTATCTTCCCAAGGATATACAAAGAATTAATGAAAATCACATGTAAATTGTTAAGGACAAGACTCCTACACCTCATTCATTACTTTTTAACTGCCAGGTTCTACTATCTTTTATTCAATTGAATTCTGACTTGTTAAGAGTATTTCACACTGTTTCTATATTTAACAGCTAATATTTCTATTACAGCTGAGCCTAGGCCATATCTTGTATGCAGTTTCACGAAACACCAGAGGAAGCAATACAGAAATAATTCATTTAGTCAACCACTTATTTTTATAAGTGGAGCCACCCAGTGGCTGGGAACTTCTACAAGAGCAGCAGTGACCATTAATAACCAGCATCTTTCTGCTAGCCATTCCTCCAATTTCCTTCGCCTGGGGGAAGGGGGGGATCTACTGACTGTCAGCTCAGAATCACTACTAGTCCATTGCACATGATCACAATATACACGATGGAGAAAAGATCAATTTCTTTGCAGAAGCTTGAGTCAGTTGTCTAATTGCAAAGTCAAGGCAGTATCAGGAACCACTTTATCAAATAGTTGGAGTTTATTCTGCATCCTTTAGGTAGTGCATCCTAGAATAAAGGCATGTATAAAATACTGCTTACACTTGCAGATTGTCTAGACTTCTGGTTTTCAACTGATTTACTGGCATTAAACAAAATTCATGTGAAAAAATTAAGAAGCACTGCCTCTGAATCTGGATCCCAAGCAGATAGCCGTTTCTAACTATAGTGCTAACAGCAACTGAATACTCTTGGGATGGCAGAGGCTCATACCGACACAAGGTAAACCTCAGAATTCTGGCTCTAGTTGGCTACAGTTGCCACAACCCCGCAAGGAAGCAACAACTCGTTACACCAAGGATTTCAGGAACTGTTCTCAATAGTCCCGGATTAAAAGGCGCCATCCAGGGCCATTTCAGGATTGGCAGCGAGAAAGTGCATGGCGGTGCCCGGCCGGGGACTCCCTCGCTTCAGTGCAACAGTAGCTCCGGCAGTTTCCAAGGTGTCCAGACCCAGGCCATTTCTCGAATGACTAGCCCCAGAGTAAGGACAAGACTCGACTTGTTCCCATTATCCACAGCCCGAAGTGGGGCATTAAATCCGGAACAGCTCGAATTACCAGGTGACGACCGAGGGAACAGGGCGGGGCAGGGAGCCGATTTCCTCACCTAGTAGAGCCAAGCTCTAAGCCCAGCAGGGCTGCGGCTCTCGCAAAGCCCCCCAATGGCCGCCGCTCGGATCGCGCACCCACGGGGCCCGCCCGCGGCGCCCCAGTCCGCGCCGCAATCACGGGTTCACGCCGCGCCTTCAGTCAGGCGCGAGCGCCGAGGCCATTTTGTCTGAGGCGCCGGTCCCGGTCGCGGAGCACAGGGATGGCTACACCGGCTCCTGTCCCGCGCCGGCCCCCGAGCTCCAAGAGCCCCGGCCGAGACCGTTACTAGCCCTGCGGAGCCGCCCGCCTACCCCACGCCGGCCCGGGTCTGGTGGCGACCCCGCCGCCGCCGCGCCCTCCCCGTATCCGGCTCCGCAGTGACACGCGCAGCCCTCGCCCCACCCCGGGCCACGTCTCCGGTGCCCCGGCGGGCCGCTCTCTTTTGGCCAAACAAAGGGGCCTCGGGACGCCACGGGGCCCCCCGGGCCCGCACCGGGCGCGCCATACCCGAGGGCCAAGGGCGGAGGCGGCGGTCACAAAGCGGCTTTTGTGCCGCCCCGCCCGGCCCGCAGCGGTGGCCCAAACCGCCCCCGCAGCCAGGGGCTCCGCAGGGACGAGGAAGCCGGTGCCTCCGGCCAACCGCCACCACGCAGCCCCGCGGGTCCCGGCGCCCGCCTCCCCTCAGTCAGCTACCGCCGGCTGGCCGGGCACACAACCGCAGTCCGGACCCCGCCAGCACCAGACCCACCGGAACTGCAGGCCGGCGGCCGGGAGCGGACGCCGGGATCCGAACAAAGACAGAGACGAGGGACCGGCTGTGGGTCCCCGGTCCGAGAGGCGGCGGCACGACGGATACTCACAGGAATATGTTTACTCATTGAAGATTGTGGCCTAATCATACAGCCGGTCCCGAGGCGGCGGCGACACAGGCGGCGGCAGTGGCGGCGGCTGCAGGGCAGGGGGCGGCGGCGGTCGTCGTGGGGCGGCGGCGGCGTTGCAGGCGGCAGCGGGGGCACCAGACTCTACCATGCAGTGAGCGGCTCCGAGGAGAGCGCGTCGCCGAGTCGGCCCGCAGTCAAGAGAGCCAATGCGCGCGCCGAGGCGCCTTTGCGTCACAAGCCCAGCCTTTTATAGTCAGTGCGACGTGCGAAGCCGCGGCCACCAATCGCGGCCCGGAACTCCGGGCTGAACGCCGAAGAGCGGGGGCGGAGGCCCGCCTCGTGCGGACGTCACCGCGCGGCGGTCGCCGCCGGTGTGAACCGGTTGATGAATGGCGCTGTGCTGAAGTCCGAGCATCTCGCGGGCGGGGGAGGGACGGGGCGGTGGAAGGACTCTGAGGTGGGAGAAGTCTGGGGTAGGGTAGAGAGTGGAGCGGGAGAAAATACCCTTCGAGCTACTAGAATGCTGCGAGCACCCCTGGTTCTAATAATTAACACCACAAAGTAGTGCACACATGTCACAAGTGGAGACTTGAAGTTTGCCTCAAACTTAAAATACAATCCCTTTAGGGCTGGAACCGTGCCTCAGTTCCGACCCTGCTCGCCTCTGCCTTAAGTCATAACCTCAGTCAACGTTGCCAGCGGTTTACCTTGGCACCTGCATCCCTGCCATCTCCGTCATCAAGTAATATTTATGTCGCACGACCGCTCTCCCTGGTGACTCAACACCTTGAACGCCAGAGCCTTAGGCTCGGACAGGGTGAATTCTTGTTGCCAGGGGCACTTCCAAGCGGGGAGAAAGTTATCTTCGTAAATTTAGCCTATAGAAGACTGGGTGGTGTCAACTGATGCAGATAAAGCCCTGTGCTCCCCACAGTCATTTTCGGTCACGCCTCCAAACCACATACGCGGGCAACTGCAGTTGGCTCGATTTGTGGCATTTTGAAATCACATGCATCCTTTGTACAGCTGCTCACTTGATGTGTTGTCACAGATAATTAAAGGTTAGACACTGCTTAAAGGAAGCAGTTTTTGAAATTAAGAATCTTCAGTTTTGTCCAGGACCGATGTAATTCTTTGCGTTAAAGTGAAAAGCCGTCCTTTTTGTTCATTTTCAGTCCCGCTGTTTCACTGCCTTCATAATTTAGGGCCTTAAGAAGTAAAGCCTTGTCACACTTGTTCAGCACTACACAAGGGCAACTCTGTCATTTATAATCTGAAAGTCCTTTCTCCTCTGTTTTTTGGACGGCATAAACAGGACTTTTACCTGCTTTGAAGAACTTAGTTTTCCAAGAACACTGAGGCCTTTTGTTTACTGTTTTCACTGGAAAGGGCTTTAGGGATCAAATTGTGTTCTCAGTCAGTGTACTGCAGCATCTTAGGATTTATTAGAACTTCTATTTAGAGACTGCTTGCATACTTACATCTAACTTTCTTATAAACATATACTCTGTAAATGGTGTAAGAGCTTTTGGAAAAAAGAATTGAGCCAGATTTTTATAGGAACAAAAGTTTAAAATTGCTCAGCTAGGAAATTTTTCACTTCATCTGATTTAAGGAACACCAAAGAGCTTGAGAAATGTATTTTTGTTCCTTTGCATATAAATGGTCAGAGGAATAGATTTTAAAGACTTCAGTCTTAAAAGATATAGGAAGATTTATTTATTTTAAAGATTTATTTATGCATAGAAGAACTATGTAGGATAGAGGGGAGAGGGAGGAGGATTCACCAGAGACAAAGTAGGGAGCAGAACAGGCAGATCTACTGAAATACACTGCTGAGGAGAGCAGAAGGAGAGGTCTGCTGGTCATTTGCGAGGTTAGCTCCTTGGCAGGGGATACAGCTCAAGCCAACTAGGTGGGCCTTCAAGGCGGTATCACTGAGGATTTAATCACTCTGCCATCAGGGAGACCCATATATAAGAAGATTTTTTAAAAAATTGGGTTAGGGAACTCAAGTCACAAAAATATTTTGTTATATAAAAATTTAGAAACCTTTATGTGGCAAAAGACTTTTGAGCAAGCTAAAATATAAATGATTGGTGGGATAACATATAGGTGATATAGCATAGTCAGAATTATCATCATAATGAAAAGCTTGACTAATACATACAGTAGTGTAGCAATTGCAAAATGAGCAACTCTCTAAAAGATGGTGAGCACAGTGATGCAAATCGGAAAAGTGAGCTTCTCATGTGATGGTTTTTCAAAACATGAATTTGGTGGGATAAGATTTCAGTCTGTAGATGGTAAGCAAAATCAAATCAGTATTAGGCAGTTTTCTTGTAGAACTTGTGATACAAGTTGTGAGCTTTGTGATCCACAGATCCTATAATTACCATAAACAGTACTGACATGAAGTAACCGGGCAACTATGCTCATCAAGCTCTAAGAACTGATTTAAAACTCACAAGTGGACTCATAAGTCTTAGGCGCTCAGATGAGGTACCACCTATTTCTGTTATAGTTTGAAAAGCACACAGTTCAATCTTTGAAAACTGGAAATAACTGACTTTCAAGAGAAAGGGCACACTTTACTTTTGATAAGTTCACTGAATTCGATCAGGTAGTCAAGGGCCTGCTACTCTTGCAACTGCTATGTTTCTATGGGTCCTGCTTCATTGTGGTTCTCTGCTGTGCTAGAGGTGCCCACTCTTACTCAGCCCAGTAGTTTAAAGCTACTGATTCTTAGAGAATGACTGTCCATCCCACAAGTGATCCTGAGATTCCTGTGACCTGAGGACTCACAAACTTCTATAGACCTGTACTGGTAAATCAGCAACAAGCTGTATTGGCAGGAATTCTACAGACTGGGCTCACTGTATGGGCTTACATATAGTAGTCCAGATAGCCAGATGTAAGAACACACCTCTGAAAGCTGATATTGACTCTAAGTTCCAAAAGAAGCCCTAAGATAGGAGACTTCTCCCACTATAAAGTTATGTTACTTTCCTCAGCAGAACATATGTTCTTGACTTTATCATGGTAGGCCGGACTTTTCATCACCAAATATGCCAAAGCCCAATTGTTACTGGGAGATAAATAGTGTATGTAATAAGAGCATTAGGATGAAGATACTATGGAAAGTGAAACACTGCAGAAAGAAAACAGGTCAGCAAATCTTGATCATGAGCAGGGGAATCTTTACAAGAACTGCAGATTACTGAATGATTTCAGTTATATCAGACACATAAAAGGAATGGAGGATTTCATCTTTTTCAACCTCTTCAGATTGGTCAGCACTCATTTGAGGTTATGAGGAAATCTGATTAAAAAAAAATTTTTAATGTTGCAAGAGTGTTACCTTTGTAATGACACAAAAAATCAAATGAAAAAAAAATGCAAGGAATAACTACATATACTTAATTGAGTTAAGTACCCCAGTGGGATATCTGCATACTAGTGCAAAGGGAGCTCTTAAGTACAGTCCTTACTTCAGAAGTACTCTAGAAAATCAAGGATACAACCATGAACCCTATTATCATTGTAAAAATTTATTTTACTGTTGCTGCTTTTGAACAGTGTGCTTTATTTTATATTAAAAATTAATCTTATGCACCTATAAAAATTAAAAAATTAAACTTTAAAAAAAGTCAAAAGTCAATTTCAGGGTAAAATCAAACATGATTGATTTTTAGTGCATAAATGTTCAAAATTAAGTTATACTCTATTTTCAGAGACTTAATTTTCTTAAGACATTGATTTAAGGTTTTACTCAAGTCTTTTTAATAGGTCTGATGAATAATAAAAACCGTGCTATATCATCATTTCTGTGGGAATCTTCGACACAGAAATCTCCAATGAGCAACTAACTTGTTACAACAGGCCTGTGAAGGACACAGTCCATTGCCAAGAGCTGCACTTAGGCTATTGTGTTTTCTACCTGTCAGACATAGAAACTGCCAGTCAGCCATTGATTGGTAAGTGTTTAAGATGTCAATAACTATAGATAAGTGCATCTTGCTAGATTAGAAACATTTTATTGTCAAATTCAGCAATGAAAGGCAATATTTTCTCTGTAATATGGTTAAGGGTATTTTGGAAAAATAACTAATGTCTATGTTCATGAACAATCCTTTCTAGTAAATATTTATTATATCCCTTTTCTGTCCCTCTACTTCTCATTTCTATAATCAACTTAAATATACTGTTAAGTTTCCGATGAAAATGCATTTTCACATTAGAAAACTTAAATACAATGTTTACTCCTATGCATAGTCATTTCTTAAAATGAAATGAGCAGATTAGTGAAAAGAACATTTCAACTTGTATGCTGAAAAGAACTATTTCCTTGCAACATTAAATAAAAGACTTATTGTGAACCTATCATAATTCATAGCATTTTCATAGCCTGTCATTATTATCAACGATTCACGTACTTGTACCTAGAGAAATATGGTTTGAAAAACTTACTTTTAGTGAACTTGAGAAAGTTTCTTTTGCTGTTAGATAGCCTGAATAAAATTCACTTGAGAACTGAAAAACAGGAGGGCCATGTAGCCATGTAATTGTTTAGAACATGTTGAATTTATGCCACAGTCTGAAGTGAGACAAAAATAGCTTAGGAAAGGAGAATTTAATCTGGCCAGAGAAAGGGAATGGAGTATAAATAAATTTTAAAGGTTGGTTATGCATGCTATGGGAAAGCTGTCACTTGACAGTTTTAATTTACAGAGTTGGCATTTAGGCTGCAGATAATCCAGACACTGACCTAAGAAACATTACTGGGATAAACCTTACATAAGGAGAAATGTTCTTGAATAGTATCAGGCAAATATAACATTTAACAAAGATGCTTCACTGGTCATGATTTTACCTTATTCTAACACAATTGTTTTTTAAGGTGGCATATTCAACAAACATTCTTGGTGTATTTTTATAGCATTGTTCATCACTGGAAGATACTGAAAAAGAGAACCGGAATACAGAAGCATTTTGAAATTTTCTTTAAAATTCATCATTACGGCATTTTTTTTTTTTTGAATTCTCATAATAGCTACATAGTACATAGTAGCTACTCAACCAATATTTTTTTGGATACGATCTAGTTACTTTCCCATCTGAAATCTTTCTGGAACATTCCATTCCCAGTTTTCCTAAGAGAATTTCATCTCTCAATCCCCTTTAATGATGACCTTCATTGGGATTTTATTTTAAATCCTCCTGGCCTCATTCTATGTGTTTCTTCCTCCACCCCCCATCTCTGGCTGTCCGCTTTGCTTTCCTCCTCAACACTTACTTGCTAAATGCCTGGCATATGCCAAGCACTCTGCTACCTTATGAAACAACATCAACATTGTTTCTGCATCTAATGAAGCTTATATACAGAAGAGGAAAAGGGGGGAAAAAACAACAAGTAATTAAGCAAAGAATATAATTATACATTGTCCTACGTTGCTGTGAAGGAGGTAAACAGAATAGCTGGGGTGACTTTAGGCAGAGAAGTCAGGGGCGGTGTCTCCCAGGAGACCCAGTCCTAAATGACAAGAATGAATCACAAGAGGGGGAGGAGAGAGATATTCTTGGTGGAGGAAATGACAGTACAAATATTGAGGTGGGAAGAGTTTGGTGGTGTTCAAGGTGATGAAAAGCTGATAGGCTGCAGCAAAATAAAGGAAGAAAGGCTGGAGTAAGGCT